AAAAATTTGTAGGTTAATATCATTTGATTAGCTGAGTTCCAAATTCATTATAATCAAAATGTGATAATCAAATTGGTGCCACTAAATATTAAAACAAAATTAAGCATTTGGTGCCATGGATTTGGGCCTACTACTTTATCTTAAGACTCAGTCCTTGATGTTAACTCTTCTCTTCCATGACATCCCAGAACCTAGTCCAATATTATCCCGTCCTAGTATCTAGCTGCTACTTCTCCATTCTAGACTGAGTTTCTCCAGTCTAACATTGGTTTGTGAGAGGATAAACTAACTTTTCCCTCCCTTAGCTAGCCCCCTCCCATTATGTCTCATAAAGCTGTTAGATATTTTAAAGGATGTCTGTGTGTAGTGTGTGTGTGTGTGTGTGTGTGTGTGTGTGTGATCAGAAACATATATGAACTCTACAGTGATAAACAAATGGAGAAATAATAAAGTTAAAGAGATATTTTCAGTCTAGATCATTAAGAGGGAATGAAACCTTCTCTTTCTGGAGTCCTCTTCCTCCTTCTGCCCAGCTGATCTTCTATCTTCAATCTTGTGCCAAAATCAGATATCTAAGTATGATTTCAATTCTCAGTCTCTTGCTGATAGATTTCATTCCAAAAAACCCTATGCATTTTAGCTCAACTTCCCCTTTACTTAGATCTGTTATTGTCCTTTGTTGGGAAAACAAAGGAAGTATATTTAGCCAGAGGCTCAATAATTGCACCATTAGCAAATAATTCTACAAGTACCAAATGAGAATGGGCATTTTTCCTAGGTATTCTTCTATAACTGATGACCATCCCTCATTTTTTAGAGTCTCTCAAGTTCACCTTCTCTATTTTCTAGCTATGGTAATTCTTTTCCCTAAGTCTCTTGAATAAGACAGGCACTTCTCTCACAGACCTTCCTAAGAATCTTTCCCTAGTAATTTTGGCTATATGCCCTTACTCGGCATTCCTCTTAATTCATTTCCTAGAGATCACAGAGCACAAGCCTTTGCAAAGTTATCTCTCTCAACCTTTGCGTATTTTTTCCACCTTTGTTGGATTGAAGGAATTTCCTCTAGCTCCTTTAACCTCTGAAATTGGAAGCTTGTTGAACACAAGTAATCATATCTCATTTACCTTTGTATCTGTCCCAACACTTTGTACATTTCAATTGCTTAATAAATGTTAATTTTGAGGGAAGTTTGTCTCTTTATCCTATGGTTTTAAACTGATATCCAGGCTTTCTTCACTTGGGAGATTATGTGACAGTAGAAAAGGCCATATCCAAGGGTGGTTGGTAACTGACAGCCTCGAGGCCACATGTGGCCCTCTAGGTCCTTAAGTGTGGCCCTTTGAATGAGTCCAAACTTCACAGAACAAATCCCCTTAGTAAAAGGATTTGTTCTGTAAAATTTGGACTCAGTCAAAAGGCTATACCGAAGGACCTAGAAGGTCCCATGTGGCCTTAAGGTCACAGGTTCCCTACCTTTGAAACTATCATTGCCTCAATCTCTACTGATACAACCTCCTTCTGTGTCATTGCTCTTGGTAGAGTTCCATTCAAGACTGACTTCCATTCAAGACTGTGCCCTTTGGGAACTTCAAAAGCTAGGTTCTATTTATTGCCCCTGGCCTCCATGTGCCATACTTGGAAGATCTATGAAAACTGACAGACTCCAAGAACAAGAAACAATGCATGTGTTTCTTTGACCTGTATATTCTTATTCCATGTCTCTGGTGAATTCAAGTTTCCACGATTCAGTAAAATAATGTGACTGTCCCATTTGAAGAATTTTTTTTTAGGTTTAATTTATTATTCTTGCCAGCATAACATTTTATTGCCTCTCCTCTTCTCCCTCTGTGTCTCTCTGTGTCTCTCTGTGTCTCTCTGTCTTTGTCTCTGTCTCTCTCTGTAATATATATACCTGTTAGATCATTATACACATTTATTATTTTTTTCAGCCTATTATAAGTTTCTACTGTCTGTTTTAATTTGATTTTATTGAACTTTCATTCTTTATCCCCCCAAATCCTGACATTTGAGGCAAACTGAAATGATCTAAACTTTAGATTAATTATCTGTAAATGAGTTTTTATATTTCTAATAGGTGCTTTTCATTTATTCTGCTTATCTTTTACTTTCATTGCATATATAAAATAAACTTTTAAATCTTTATTACTTTAACCTATTTTGTATTTTGATAAGCCTATTAATCCCCTACTTGTATTTCAAGGTTATTTAGAGCACATGACTTTTTTTTAAATTTGAAATGACACCTATGTCTGTTTCACCCCCTTCATCTTGAGGCTTCAGAATGATCAAGAAGCCAGTGCTTTAATACGAGTCAAAACTAACTCAATTTCTTCTTAGTTACTATGTACTGCTTTATCTCCTAGGCTCTTAAAAAAGGAAGAGACAAATTATTGCTCCAAGGACCATATTGGTCAAAATGAAATGCCATTCTGTTTTCTGTTCAGTTGAAATTTACCCTGTTCTGTGATGAATATCTTATGACAAAAATGTTTTCATCATTTTCCCACTACTGCAAATAAGGGAAACATAATGGAATCATGGCATTTGGATGCATTCTATACACATTGTCCAACATATTTAAAGAACAAGACAGGGTATAATTTGCTGATGCATGCCATTTGACTGAACAGAGCTAGTATGTTGACTTTGCAATATTTTAATAAACACTCCCTAATACAACATAAAGGCTTAGATTAAGATTTCATGAATTCAAGTGCCTGTCCATTTATATAACATATTAGATAGGAAATAAACATAATTTTAAACTACTGGACTTATTAGAAAATGATCATTTTGTTCCATGATGTTTCATTCTCTCAACAGTTTCATGCATTACTGGAAAAGGTAAGAGCATTTGAGTAATATACAATGCTTCACAGATAAAATTACATATGGTGTGCAATGATGAGTACTCTTTAGTAGGGGATGTGCCATTGGAAATACACATACATGCAGACACAACTGTGTAAAATATTTCATTGCTGGGTAAGGGCATATCTGCGAATAATGACAAAATATTTCCTATCAGTCACAACAAACATATACTAGGCATGAGAGTTTAAAAAAAAAGTTTACAAATTAAAAAGCAAGTAAAAGGCACTAAATATAATGCCTCTAATCATTTCAATTAATATTGGATGAGCAACTATAAAAGCTTATATCTGAAAGCTATGTAAAAAAAAAAGCGATGTAGAAACTTCTAGCTATCTAAACATGCAGTTTAATGACGAAATTTTAACCTACCATAGTAATACTGTTGATGCAACATGAGGTTTTTTTTTTTCTCATTCACTTAAGGATATTCAAAGGGAATTAGTTCTCCATCTCTTTAGAATTAAAATGGGAATACTCATTTTGTTCTGTTGTTAAAAGTTGTATGTAAAAATTCATGTAACTCAAATATTTGATACTTATAATCCAAATGACATAAATGTAAAACATCTCACACAAAGTATAAATTGACTTTAATGCTATTTTTGAGTTGTTGCATAAAGGTTTCAAACTTTGCCATTCTAATACTAATTTTAATATAACTTTTAAAAAATCATCTTTAAAACTCCATCTCTCTGAACAATGACTGTGCTTATCAAAAAGGTATTGAAACTTAAAAAAAGTTATTCTTCAAAACAGAATTATATACTACATTAAAACAAAACCTTTAAAATATTTAATAAAACACTGGGTTAAATTGGGCAATTTTACCAGTCTAAAAATGATTTTCTAGGGGGAATGTCTATCATAAGTACATTTATATAAGACTTAATAACACAAGTTATAAATTATTCTTTCATAAGTGTAGGTCTGTGCTTCTTTCCTTCACAACACAAATATGATACTTCCAAGCTATATTCTCAACTTTATTTGACTATATTTTTAGTATTATTGAATGATCCTGTATTGAGAATCTTCCAAAAGTTTGTGAAACATCAATAGAATTTGAAGTATATAAGGCCTTCAGCTTAATATAGCCAATAGATGAAATATACAAGTTACAGAAGGCTAAATTTCAAAATAACTCCATGTCTAATTTAGAGATTTCCAAAACGTGTGTGTGTGGGGGGGGGTGGTCACGTCCCAAAATGAAACATATTATGTATATGATAGGAATGTAGCTACCATCTAGATTTTCTCTCATATATAGGCAATTCATAAGCATGTCATCTACTGTAAGACCCCACTTTTATAAAACGTGCAAACATCCTGAAATATTTTGGTAATAACATCCTTATACTTAATAGATTAACCACAAGATTAATAATTCTGACATATTCCATAGCAATCAAATACTAGCTGTGAATCTATATTAGCATTTAAAAGAAGTCTTTTTTTAATATTTGGAAGAAAAAATATTAAGCAGGAATTAATAATATCATATATATATATATATATATATATACACACATATACATATATATGTATATATTATTTTTCTATTTCAATAGTTACCTTCTTACCTTTCAGTTCCTGAAGGCTCTAAAACAAGCTTTCATTGCAGAATACAGTTTTGATCAATCTTGACAGGTGATAAAATAAGTTTTACTCTCAATAACTCATTGCCTCTATTCATTGACATCAAATAGGTCTCGTGAAGAATTTAATGTATAAAATTGTCATTCATGTCGAAGGACTTTTCTCAGTCACATAAATCTTTACCTCTCTGAACCATGCCTTCAAATCCACATGGAACACACAGTGAATATTATATTAAATGACTATATTATCAAAATCCACCCCCAACACATCATATTTTTGATGGAAATATCACATTGTTTTTAGTTCAACCCTTTCAGTGTGAAACATCATGGGAATTACAATAAGGTAACTTACTACTAAACCCAGTTTTTATAAAAAAGCTAATAAGACAGATCTTGAAACTGTCTAAAGGATGGAGCATTAAACATATAGTAATTCCTTAATATCACTGTTGAAGTAAGTCAAAATATTAATGTATCACATTGAAAATAAAGCTATCTTACCATGAGCTCACAGGCATGAAATTCAATGAAAAGTTCTCCACCCTGAGACCTAGAAAAAATAGAGTGAGAAGAGTTCTACATAAGTTGTGATGTTACATTTTGATACACCTTTAAAAAAAAGCATAAATGGTATCGTGATATTATAGATACATATGACTGAACATATGTGTAAAATAAGCTTTTGGGGGCTTGCAAGAACTGAATAGCCATTTGTAATACTGATTCTGTGGGCAAATATTACAAGTTCCAAATAATTTATTAGCTATTCTACCCCAGCATCTGCAACTCCTAGCACAGTACTTTAGTAGGGATTTAATAAATATTTTCTGGATATAATTTATTAGCTAATAAATATTTGGAACAAAATTCGTTCACAAATTAGCATCTGAATGTAAGTTGGTATTTGTGAAATGCCTAGCGATTAGCTGAAGTTCTATTTTTGGGCTATAGATGAAGTAATTATCTAGTAATTAATAAATGTTGTTCAGTAATTTTTAGTTGTGTCCAACTCTTTGTGAACCCATGTGGGGTTTTCTTGGCAAACATACTGGAATGGTTTGCCATTTCCTTCACCAGCTCATTTTACAGATGAGAAAACTAAAGCCAACTGAGTTAAGTGACTGAGGCCAGATTTGAACTCAGGAAGATGAGTCTTTCTGACTTTAGGCCCAACAGTCTATCCACTGCACCACTTACCTGTCAAATCAATCAACAAACATTTATTAAATACCTATTATGGGTCAGGAATTACAGTAAGCAGTGAGGATATAAAGGCAAAAATGAAATTGTCTTTGCCTCAATGACCTTACATACTAATCCTAAAATGTGTATAGATATGAATATATACATAATATTTTCCTCACTTAATAGTATTTTATTTTTTCCAATTACATGTAAAGATAGTTTCCAATGTTCACTTTTATAAAATTTTGAGTTCCAAATTTTTTTTCTTCCTCTTCCCTCCCCTCCTTCTTCCCCAAGATGTCAAACATTCTGACATAGGCTATGTACCATCAAATTAAACATATTTCCACATTAGTCATGTTAAGAAAGAAGAATCAGAACAAAAGGAAAAACCCACAAGAAAGAAAAAAAAGGGAGAGAGAGAAATAGTATGCTTTGATCTGCATTCAGACTCCAAAGTTCTTTCTCTGGTTGTGGACAGCATTTTCCATCATGAATCTTTTGAATTGTCTTAGATTATTTCATTACTGTAAAGAGCTAAGCCTATCAAAGTTGGTCATCGCACAATGTTGCTACTCCTGTGTACAATATACATATTTTTAAAATGATGTTTGAGGAGAAGAATGTAGAAACAACTAAAAGTTTCTTCTTTATCTTATCTATTCATTAAAATGTTTGGAAAACCATTTACTTTTAATTCATTTAGTATTCCTTTATGAATAAAGTTTCCTACTCAACAGTTTGAATATATGTGACTGGAATTCTCAAAGAACAAATCTAGATGTAGGAGTAGGGAGCCTGTGGCCCTCTACATCCTCAAATGCAGCCCTTTGAATCCAAACTTCACAGAAGAAATCCTCTTAATTAAAGGATTTGTGTTGTAAAGCTTGGACTCAGTCAAAAAGCCACACTAGAGGACCTAGTTAGTAACATGTGGCCTCAAGGCCTCAGGTTCCTTATCCCTGAAGGAACACAGATCGAGAAGCCCTGACCAAGCTTGAAAAGTTTTAAGATAAGTCTGGTGATATTTTTGGAGAAGCTGATTACTAAGGTGGACACAAAACACTGAGCTAGGGAAATCAATCAGGAAAAAATATATGAAGTGATTCCCATGTGCCAGGCACTGTGCCATTTGCTGGGGATGCAAAAATAGGGAAACAATAGTTCCTGCTTTCAAGGAGTTCACAGTCTAGTAGGGGTGACAGCAAGTAAGCAAATTTTTACACACACACACATAAGCTACATACAAGACAGGTAGGAAGTCATTGATCAAGGGAAGATCCTAAAAATAAGAGGGGTCCAGAAAAGATCCTGTAGAAGGTAGAACTTTAGTTAGGACTTACAAGATGACAGGGAAGCCAGTAGGTGGGGTTGAGGAGTGAGAGAATTTCAGGTATGGAAGACAATCAGAGAAAATGCCCAGAGTCAGAAAGAAGGAATATTTTCTTCCTGGAACTGCAAGGAGTCAGTGTCATGGATCAAAGAGTACGTGGCTGGGAGTAACAAGGGTGGAAAGGCAGGACAGGCATTGATTATAAAACACTTTGAATTCCAAACATGACAAATTTTATATTTAATTCTGGGGGCAATAAAGGAGCCACTAGAGTTTGTAGAGTAGAAGTGACGACATAATTTGACCTACACTCCCTATACTTCTGAAGTCATGGGATTAGATCTTTACATTATCTGACTTGACAATATCTATGTTACTGAACCTGTCAGGGTTGGTGTGGCCTACCTCATCTGGGCAAAGATGTAATGGAACATTCTCTTCATGGATGGAGGATGTATGGGCTTCCAATTAGTTTAGATCAAAAAACCTCTAATTGGAAGAAAAAAAAAACACTTTCATTGGCAGTTAGTTCAAGGTTACAAAGACTCTAAGAGGTAGAAATATAACTGCCCTCCTATTATCAGCCTCATCTCCCCTTCACAATAACACTGTACAAGACCAAGAAGTATTCCCTACCATGTTCTATAACAAATCCAAAATGTTCTACTCATTTTCACATGACAAAACCATCAAACGAGCATACCCTTCCATAGAGAGAATAAATTCTTGGTTATTATGGGGAAATATCAGAAAAATTAAAGAACTTTTATTCAATTTGTAAATGTTCAATCTGAATTCATATAATCATAAAGCATTTAATTATGAAACATGGACAAAGTGAGAGATAACATGATGTGTCTGTTAGAGAATGGTCTTAAAACTAGGAAGACATGGTTTCAAGTCCCATGTTTAACTATTGATATACTTGATTAAATATTAAAGTTTTACTAACTAAGAAATGTTCTAAGGCTGGAGGGGTAGGATTTCACCTTCTACCATTTTATAAAACTCCAAATAAAGCTTAATTTTCCCTTGGATTTACTTTTTACTTATTTACTGTAGCATCATCATTCTACAATGAGTAATATTATAATTATATTCTGATTTGTATATAATAGAATGGAAAAGAGAAATCTTATAATACTATATAATCAATACATTTTATTGAAGGAACACAGTAGTTTATCAGTAAAAATAATCTTACTATAGCTAACATTATAAGGCATTTGGGAAGTATTTGGTATGTTTTTTTTCTTCTACTACAGTCCTCTTCCTCTATCTTATCATGCTCTTAGTTTTCAAATGCTCTGCCATTGATTAGTCTTATGTTGGTTCTACCAGTACTAAGAGGCTTTAAGGACAGTCTCCAAGGCAAAGTGATTGTGGCTTTGCATTGACTTAACTAAATTCAGAGAGGCTCATTAAAAAGGTTGATTACAAGGCGATGAATTTTTTGCCATGGAAACTTATGAAAACCATGTCCTAGAGTCATATTTATTACCACATACATAAGCTATATGAGAATGTGCCATGAAAATTCTTTGCACTTAGCAAAAGTGGTATAGGAGAAAAAGTGTAGGATTAGGAGTGAAGAGACTTCAGTTCCAATCATTCTAGCATTTACTAGTGGTGTGACACAGAGTCTCTCTTTTTTCAATTATAAAATGGAAAAAAAAAAACACAAAAAACTCTTGAATTATAAAACCCCAAGGGTTGTTGTGAAGACAGTGCTTTGTAAATGGGCAAATAACATGTCAATGCCAGTCAATGCTATTGCTTAATTAGAGTATCTGAAGATATAATTGCAATTGACTGTAAATCACTCCTATAGCCCATTTCAAAAAAGAAATTCTATAACTTTTTTGATAAAAGTTAAATTTATAACTACTTCGCTTTTCAGTAAGTTATTGGGGAGAGGGAGAGAACAAACAGGGGATGGATATTTGAAGTTCTGAATTCTTATTCCAAGCCTGCCATTAATCAGCTTTGCCACCTTAGGTGAATTACTTCACCTGTGGGCCTCAGTTTCCTCACCTATAAAATCCATCTTGGGAAACAGATGATACTTTTTAGGTAATTGGGGTTAAGTGAGTTGCCCAGGGTCACACAGCTAGTAAATGTGAAGTGTTTGGTCTGTGACTGGATTTGAACTCATGTCTTCCTGACTTCAGGGCCGGTGCTCTATCCACTGTACTACCTACCTGCCCTGGAAATAGAAGATTTTTATGGTTCCTTCTAAGTTGATAAGAAGAAAAAAAACAGAGTGTAGTAAAAAAAAAAATAAACAACTATTAGAGATGAGTCAAAAAGACTTGAGTTTAAATCTTGCCTTAAAAAGATATTAAATAATGGCCATGGACAATTAATTTAACATCTTGCAACTTTCAATTAATTTTTCACATTTCACATATTCACACATTTTCATAATTTGTATATTTAAAATGGGGAAATAATACTTACATTATCTACCTCACAAGTTTGTTGTGAGGAAAACATTTTGCAAAAGTTAAAGTGCCCTGTACATGGGACTGTGATTCTGTTATTTCCTTGGTAGATATAGATCTTAGGGTAAGACCTTGCAAAATAGAACCTAATACCATTTATAATGTTCTATTCAGACAAAGTCAATTTCACAATGAGTATACTTTCTTAAACAATATTAATTTCCAGTTTCAGGTGGTGTCAGATTGACTCTAACATTAAACACCTCTGATCTTGTCCTTTGTTTCAGTGAATGCACCAGCTAAGGTTGAATGGAAATTCACATTCTGTCTAATGCATAAAATGAAATTCCACAAGCTAGTCTTTTTCTTCAAAGACCTTCATGACTCCCTTGGCTACTGTAACACTTAGCCGACTTGTATCTGTTCCTTTCAATCTCAAAAGAAGCATATGACGAGACTATTACACTTCTTGCTAAACCATTTTATCTGAACCCAGAAACAAGAGTCTATAAGTCTAATGAATTCCTCAGCCTTCTTTTTTTTTCTAGCTATAATCACATAATTTCCCACTCTTTCCTACAATATACT